TCCGGCCGTGTATTTAAGTAGGTCATGCATCTACTCAGCGTATGAGTAATACCTTGGTACAAAAGGAACTTGTCTCGATTAGCTCTGCTCTTACGATATTTCCTTCATGACTAGAAAATGAATAATCTAGTCAAGTAAATGGAAACTATCGTTAATTGTTTACCGTTTATCTAACTAAACTCTAGGAACTAAACTCAGAAATAAAATTAAATAAGAAATAAATAAAAAATGAGCAAAGCAAATAAAAGTCTAATAGACTATTTTGATTTTGATGAAAATAAAGCAATTTGTAAAATTTGTAAACTAAACGAAATAAAAAGAAAAAGACCATCTGGCACAAAATTTCTGTTTTTAATTTTTACATTACATTTATATATCTTGATTTTAGACTTATCTCTTTGTATAGTTTGAATCCATAAGTAAAATAACTGCTTTCCTAAAATATAAACAGAAACTAAATGCAGAGATATCCTGATAAAAAACAATTCAAAAAGTATTTAAATGTTTAGTGATTGCATAAATGTCGGCATAATAAATTAGGCTTAGACATGCAATCTTATACTGCTGATTTGCAATCTTATACTGCTGATTTAGGTGAGCATTATCATACTGATATAGCCTGTTGCCGGGTCTTCAGTACATATATCGACTGACAAATAGCCTGACTCGCGGTGGAGTGCTGCTACATCGACTGAGGGCTCGGGATGGCGCAGCAATTCTTTCATTTATTATTCTTCGTTTTCTTCTTCTTTTTCTAAAAAAGCCGTATCGATTATATATCTATCTATCTATCTATCTATATATATATATATATATATATATATATATATATATATATATATATATATATATATATATATATATATATATATATATATATATATATATTTGGGAGTAAACTAGAAAATATATGTATATATATTATATATATATATATATATATATATATATATATATATATATATATATATATATATATATATATACATATATATATATATATATATATATATATATATATATATATATATATATATATATATATATATATATATATATATATATATATATATATATATATATATATATATATATATATATATGTATATATATATATTTTCTAGTTTACTCCCAAATAAGCTGCCAGCAACCATTATTGAGTTGGGAGTTATATGAAAAAACTATTTTGTATTAATGTAACTAGAAATGCTGGCTCAATTGAGCAGCGATCATGGTTTAGTATTTGTATCAGTATTTGTAGAAATGAGAAAGAGATGTAACCTTACAAAAAAGGTTGAGAAGCTCAAGCTAGGCAAATAAAACAGGTTGAGCTGCGTTTGCAATTTGGCTTTAGACCTCGTCTATATAAGAAAGATCATCATCAGAAGAACTAGCCCAAACAGTTGACTACAGTTTTCTATATAGGGACAAATAAGATATTTGTTTATGCAGAAAATAGAATCAGAAGATAATGGCAAGCGCAACAAAGAGAGGCAACTTTAGTAGATGCTAACTTTGCAATCGATTGTATTTATGGTTTCCATGAGATGTCAGTAGTAAACAATAATCCGAAAAAATGTAAAATGAGGACTCAGTAAGAGAGTTGTTATACATTACTATAGGAATGTGGACAGTGTTGCAATAGCTGTTTGTAATAAATAACTGAGTTTTGTAGAAGTTAAAATTTACAAACCACTGCAAACCTCAATCAAAAAAATGAGATCAGATTTAAAATCGGTTGCTTTTTCTTAGTGATCAAAAATAAAAAACTTTTCGTCAAAACGGAAGTGTTGGTAATCTTTGTAAAATTTAGCCGGCAGTTATAAGAACTATTTTAGAAGTTAGGTTTTCAGGAAGATTCGAATTTTAGATAAGAAAAAAAAACTGTTTTAGAAAGAGAAGATTTGATGATCTCAAAAATTTTCTCAAATACACCATATGATACAAGCTTATGGAGAGCATCACGTTAAACTTTATTGAAAGCTTTATTTATGCCAAAAGTAACAAACCTTGCTTTGTCGTCTTTATTTAATGCACAATAGACCCTTTCAGTCACAACTGTTAGCAAATTGTGATACGAGAAAATCAAAAAAAATATTAACTGTCAGACAGTAATTATTTTGACTCAATATGAGATATTAAAAATTTGTTAATCAAAGACTCAAAGACCTTGCTAATAGTAGAAAGAAGACTGATTGGACAATAGTTTCAGGGGTCAGGATGTTTTGCAGAGTTTATAAAAATTGAAACCGCAGATGCTATTTTTCATCACACAGGAACACAAGGTTCAGTCAAGCACTTTTTATACAGTTTAGAGAGAATTGTGTAGAGCTCTGGAGAAAATTATTGTCAGACTATTTCAGGAATGTTATTTATTTATCAGCGGAGAGAAAAAAGACATTAACTCAATGAAAGTGAAAAAAAAAACTACGAAAAGAATTCTATTCAGCTTTAGAGTAGTTGTAAAAAATGCAATGATAGAGTCCGAAGTAGAAATACGAGATAAAAGACTTACAGAGATCATTGCATGATCTCTATAAATCTCATTTACCCTATTCTCCTCAAACTGAACACAGGCTAGGGTCAGGATGAAAATAAAGGAGTGAAGGTAAGTAATTAGAGTTGTCTCAAAAACGAGTCTACTATCTGAAGAAGAGTTTAAAAAATTCAGATGTTATGGATTTTAGTGCCACAAAGGTCAGTGGTGCTAGAATCCATTCAGTGTAATGAGCATTAAAGTCATAAATAGAAAATTAGAAGAGGGGTAAGAGAAAGGTCATCGTTAATTTGATCAGAAGTTATATTTTAAAAATTTTAGTCAAAAGAAGAAGGAGAACGATTAAGAACAAAGAGAAAAGTATACTTATGCATTAATTCATATTTTTTAATATCTGACATATTAAAAAATATGAATTAATGCATAAGTATACTTTCAAGCCAAACAGGTGACAAATGGAAATTTTTTTAGTTAATCAAAGATAGTAGCTATGAATACTGAGATTTGAAGAAAGAACAGCCCAAAGTTGTAACTTTAGGATACCTTATGTGGCTATGTTGTGCATGAACACCATCCAAGCAAAACATGACACTGTTAAAATTCTGATATTTTACAACTATTAATGGAATTAGCGTTTCTGAGAGTTAATACAGAGTTCGGAAAACCTTACAATTTGCCGGTCTCAGAACTATTAAATTGAGTTTTTGAGGTGTACCCTCATTAGGAGATAACAGAAAGAGCTGCATTGCCACCATCAAAGAGTCACAAATAGTTTTAAATCTTTTTTAGCCTCACAGGTAAAAAAGAGGTGCCAAACTAATTAAAATATTTATTATGCTTACCCTTAACGTTTTTGTCAAGTAGGTTTACTACAAGGCATTAGCTGGATGCGTTTAACATTTGCGTAAGATGATTGTTTTTATTGAGAAATCTCTAGCTTTTACTCGACCAAAGGTAAGTGAGTTTTAGCTGGATGCAGTTAACATTTTTTTAAGATGAGTATTTTTATTGTAACACCATCTCAGGTCTTTACTTAACCAAGAGTACTAAGGCAGAGGATTTTAAATTCGGATTTAATTTCTCCTAGACTTTGCGTAACCTAAGCAAACTTAACCTAAAAATAAACCCTAAAATACCGTAGGACATGTAGCAGGTAGTACTGGGTTATATGATACAAGTAGCAAGGTAACTGTTATGTTCCTGAACCTGACATGACCTGGAGCAGTTTAAAGAAGCTTTTTCCTGAGTCATTATTTTAAAACATTGAGCTGAATATTTTGGACATGTATTAGTGAAAATATATTCATCTAACAGAATACTAGAGATTAAATTGAGTGCAATTTTTTATTGTTTAAGTCTCAATTTGGAACTGAGTTCACACTACTTCAGAAATTTAAACAGAACACAAACTTACATACCTCCTTAAAATTTAAATTTAAAAAGTTTATATCAAGGTGTTTATAATGTTATTTAATTTTTACATTGTGTAGGGGTCAGCAAACACTGCACCAGAAGTTCAGATAGAACACAAACATACATATAATAACTTACGAGTAATTGAACACCGTGCCAGAGATTTAGAAAATAGACAAAAATATAAATTATGTTACAGATGCAAAAGTACAGTAACTAAGACATCTTTAACTATATAAAAACTACTACTCTAGTATTATATTTCACTTTTTTTTTTATTTGAGTTTTTATGCTATATTTTTCTATACAATGTTCTTATATTCGAAGATATTGTTGGTTTAGCATAGGAACAGCCACAAATAGTCATTAAGACTAATCCAAAGTAGCGTCCGTTATTGACCAACATTTTGCGTACCGAAGTATTACTCAAGCACTGTGTTGGCGGTGGCGGGATTTGAACTCGTATTGTTCAACAGTCCGGGTTTTAACTTTTCCTTTAAAGCTCTAACCATCTGAGCTATCCCGCCACCGCCAACTTCTTCTAGTCTTTGCTTAAAAACAAATACTACAAGACATTAGAACATGGTTGTACTAGATTACATGTTACCATTAGCAGGGTGATCATCAAAGATACGCCTGACATTTTATAGGATTTTTTATAAAGTTTTTTTCTTACGCCTGACATAGGATAGGATGTTTTATAAAGTTTTTTTCTTTCTTCTTTTCTCAAATTAACTTTTTTATCTAAACTATAATTTTGTTTTTTTTAAGTCATACTTTTTTTGATTGCTTAAGATTTACTTTAAACGCTTCATAAAAAATTTCTGTTTTAAATAAATTTATCTTTTAAAATAATTGAATGATATATTGTATAATATAATGTTGTTCGCAATATTAAACATTGCATTACAAAAACATTTATGCGTTTGTAAATGAAGTTATATATAAAAACTCTGTTAAAAAATTTATTTTAAAAATATCAGCATAAGGAAAACCTTGTTAATTTTTATCGTTTTGGTAAACTAGTTTGTGAAATCATAAGTAAAAGACGTTTTCACAATTAAAGAATAACTTGGGTTTTTTTTTTTTACTTTCATACTTTGTATGGAGGAGGCGGAGAATGACATTGTTTAACAATTTGAGTAGAATCCTAAAATGAAAAAACTGTTCATGAGAATTTACCTATATTTAAACATTTATATAATAAAAAATGAATTATCAAAGTATAAAACTAACATAATATGAAATATAATTTAAATAAAACTGCAAACACATACTTTTAAAGAATGTTCTTTTACGATACTTTCTGATGACACAAAACGAATGATCAGAACACAATAAATGACCATGCTGTACCCTAAAGCGCCACAAGCATGGTACAGTTTTGTTTTTATAAATGATATATGATTACAGTCTCCAATATGCAAAACGATGTTCCAGTTTGATGAAAAACAATTACATGTTTTTAATATTTGATTAAATTCACAGGAACCATGCAAGTGCTTAAGTTGCTCAATCATTTCGCAAAGAGAAGCCAAGACAATTGTCGTAGAAGAGATGCTGAGTAATACAACCACACCATAAAACACATTAATTGACTTTTTCTGTTAAAAAAAAGTAAATACTTTATGTAAGTGTAGGTATAACAGTGTTGATACCACAGCTATCATTTAGGTTTACACATTTAATATTATACTATTTATCATTAAATTATTTATTATTGTACTTTTATTGTTACTTTTTTTAGTAATGTATTCTTTATTGCATCATGGTTTATTACATTATTATAACAGTTTACTTTTTAATAATTTAATTTATGAGGGAGTCTAAAATATTTTTATTTAAAATGTATTTTAATTTACTTTGTTTTCACATTAAATTAGCTATGATACCCAAGTTGACTGAAGTTCCCGTGACATACGCAAAATATTTTTATATTTATTTCATAATAGCTTTTATTTTTGTTTTAACTGTGTTAATAGAGTGAGCATTGTTTCACTACATATTCCTGTTTCAATGAATTACAACTTCTATAAATGCATTTATCATAATTGCAAGTATACATAAAGTAAAAAAACAAACAAGAAAAGTGCCGCCTATTGGAGCATCAGATAATGCAAACAAAAAGACAAAAGTCTCAAATGTTGGTTTAATAATATTAATTTACTTTCTAACACAATTAAAAAAAAAAGAAAAAAAAAGGAAACCTGTATCTTTGTATATGGGATATAAAAATATGGGATATAAAAATATGGGATATAAAAATAAAAATTTGATATTAAAAAACAATCAGAGGTAAACAAGATATGGTTATATAACTGCAGAAAAAACTAATGCGCATTTAGAAACCCTCTGAAACCTTTATTTTAAGTATTATTAAATATATTTGTCTGGCAGCTCATGCTGACACGTTTGAATCTATATATATTATCGTAATTTTCAAAAAATGTTCTAAAACATTACGCTAACAAGTAAGCAGTTACAAAAGAAAAAAAAGTGAAGAAAACTAACTAAAAAGCACAAAAATTTAGAAGTTGCATAAAAGATTTTGTCAAATATTTAGTTTACATATAGCTCAAAAGCGAAGAAAAAACAGTGCTGGTGCAAAAAACTTGGTTCTAGATATTCTACAAAGAAAAAATTGAATAAGAGAAAATTATATTACCTGGCTTAGATTTTAAATCATTCAATTCAAGTGCATTGAATGATTTAACATCAGCAACATCAGTAACAACATCTGCAGCAATATCAACAACATCAGCAAAAACATTAACAACATCAGCAGCAACACTTCATAAAGATGTAATAATCACAAATTAAACTAAAAAAGATATATAAGGAAAAAAAACTAAAGTAAAGAACTAACTGATGATTTGCTACAAATATGCAGTACCAATAATCCTCTTACCGTCCATTGAGATAAAAAAAACTAGCACCTGATTTAATTTGCATTACACCTGATTTAACTAGCACCTGATTAAATTAGCTTTGAAATGAAGTGAGGTTGTCCGTTTAGTATGAAAACCACTAAACAATTGATAATTTGAATTGAGTTAATTTTTTTGACAAGGAAAGTTTATATAATTAAAGCATTTAAATGAACAGAAAGAATTAGTCGTTCTAAAACATAATATTCCAAAAATTAATTTTGGACCCACTGGTAGTTACTGCGGTCAATATTTTGTACAAACAACAATAATTCGCAACAGAATAAAAAACTGAAATTAAATAACATAAAAAATTCTCTATTTAGTCAAGCTTTGAAATAAAATAGTTGAAACTTAAATAATTCAAAGTTATTTATGCAGCGTCTAGGCATCCTGAAATAATACAATCATGCAGATTAGGGTGTCTCAGAATTTTTTTAAAATTATAATGCGGAAAAGTTCAATTATTATCAAAATGCATTTTTAGCTTATATTGAAGAATTCAGCTTTTCATATCAACTCTAAGGTAAAGAAGGTGGTTTTAATTATTTTTATACAATTGGATATTGCGAATATTTTATTTTATAATAACATTTTTTATATAAGGAGAATTCAGGGAACACGTTTTTTGTTTTATTTAAGTGTTTTTTTTAAATTATATATATATATATATATATATATATATATATATATATATATATATATATATATATATATATATATATATATATATATATATATATATATATATATATATATATATATATATATATATATATATATATATATATATTAGTTATTTACCTATTTTATACATAATACATAACAAAAATCATTAAATAATAATATAATAAATAATTTTAATAAAACGTTAGAAGAAATAAAAACATTTGTTTGCTAATATTCTCAACATTAGAATTTTTACTTATCAAGTTTTACTTAACTAGCAAGTTTTCATTTTATTGAAGTTTATTTTTTAATTGTTAAGAAAATTTTTTCAAATAATTTGTTGAGTGTAGATAATTATAATAAAATAAAACACATGTATATTATGTATGATACGCTTTTTTTTATGCTTGGCAAATAAAATATTTTTTAAAAAATATTTCGTATTATTTGCTGTTACAAAACAAACTACTGTACTGTTAGCTATATTTTGTACTATAAGTTTATAAATATATATAAATTTATAAACCGTGCTGTTAGCTATATTTTAAGACTATAGCTTCAGGAAAAAAAGTACTAGAATACAATACTAAAATAAAATATAATACTAAAATAGATTTGAGACAGGCTGCAAGAAAGCGTAGGCAGTTTTATATTTTAGCCATTCCACTACTAAACTTTTCTCCGAATCGACTTCTAACGATTGAATAAATGCTTAGAAGGTTTTAGTGGCTCAACATTAGAAAAGAAACTAGGTTGTTATTGCAAGAAAGTCAACATTCTAAATAAAAGCACCTTCTTATTCCAAATTCAAGGCCAGCATCTTTAACTTGAGAAAGAGTGATCCAATGAGGATCAAAGATGCTCGAAAAAAGGACATTGAATTCCTAAAGCACCGCTTCAAAGACGCATGGTCAAGATGGTTGGTATTAATAAAACATTTCAAAAAAATGCTTGTTATGTTTTGGAGAAGAATAAAAATAATAGAAGAATAAATGCGCTCACATGATGAAAAGATCAGAAATCAAGAGGAAAAGAATTTAATGAAGGTAGAAGAACTAGAACAAAGAGAGTTTGAACTTTGCTAGTACACAGACAGTGATAGTCTTCCAGACTCTGACAAAGCTTTTATGCCTCTTACAAAGACCCGAAAGATTTCAGGGAAAGTCAAAGTATGTATTTATGTAGGGATGTAGGGAAAGTCAAAGTTTGTATTATGTAGGGATGAACTTCAAAACAATTCGATCCCAATCATGATAAGATACGGTATTGGTGTTCGACCAGGAACCTATTTGTTGGTATCTCTTCATAAAGCTGGTGGTATTAACATGGAGGAGTTGAAGCTCTAAATACCAACTCTGACCAGTAAAGTACTCATTGTTGTAGAGTCAGAAGCTCAGATCATCCATGAGCAGAACATGGACAAAGTAAGAGGCTTAAAGCTAGTGATTCATTTTGACACTAAAGTTGTAATGCAGTACACCAGTGAAGAAGCAATTTCCACAATTAATGAAAGTATAGCTATAAGCGTTTCTTCTCCTGAAGCTGACCCATTAGATTTTCTGCTCAGCATTTTGAAAATTAAGGCTCTAAGGGAAACGTCCAGGCTATAGCCATTCAAAGTATCCTTGAAAACTATGAGTCTAAGGGAAGCGACCAGGCTATAGCCATTCAAAGTATCCTTGAAAGCTATGAGTTATCAAATCAAACCATTGGGGTGTGTGCTGACACCACAGCTAGCAACACAGAAAAAAAAAACAAAGGATCTTAAAGAATGTTATTTTTCATGCTTTGGGGAGGCCTTTTCTCTAACTAAAGTGCAGACACCACATATACGAGAGACATGTGTCTCATGTCTTGGAACTTGTTTTTGGTACCAAAAAAAGTCTCTATGTTTTACTTCAGAAGCTATGGCCGCAAATACACAGAGAAGTTAATTAATTTGAAATAACTGTCAAATTTGAATGGTCTCAGGATGCATTAATACCAGATACCTTTATATGGTATTAATGCATCCTGATTATATAGTGCTTGAGAAACCTGGAATCCAGCCAGTTGTTGTTCCAATGTCATCTCCTGATTATTTTGTCAGTGAGTAAAGTTATCTTTTCTTTTTTTCTTCTAGAAATTACTAAGGAAAAGCTTTTGCTGTTGAGGTAAAAAGGTATAGCTGGTTGCAAAAATGGGAGAGCTCCTAAGTCATTTATCATGTTCAGTACTTTCGTAAATCAACTTGCAATGGTAATCGGGCAGAATGTCAAATGATCAGGCAGCGTGTCGTATATAGCTAATTCAAGACTTTATTAAAAGAACAAATAACGAAGATAGAGTTCAGTTTACTCTTCAGGTAATTACTAAGCATTATTATACAGACCTGTAGCGTGTAAATTTTAAGGAGGAGGTTTTTTTAAAAATAAATTAGGCAATTTAGAATCGCAATTATTATTTTCAAATACTTGGAATTTTAGAGCTAGGTTGTGCATAGATACAGACAGCAAATATCCAAGAAAGTTACAAAGAAGTATCAACTGTCATCACGTATTTTTTTGCTTTTCAGCTCAATTTAAAACTATAATCTGAAATAAAATTGTTGCACAAAATTTGCACCTTCTTTATTCTATTAGATATATTTTAATTCAAAACTAGTAAATTTAGAGTTATCTGTATTCGGGACATTAAAATTTAATATTCAGTAAAAATTCTTTTATATAGAAATTTCCTAAAACTATCTTTTCTACCTTAGAGTTGTTTGGAAGGGCGAAAGTTTCACCATAAGCTACTAATACATAATGATAATGATTGAATTTTTCTACAATTTGATTTTTGAAAAAAAAATTTTGAGATCCTTTTGCAGATGCTTAATTATTTAGCACATTTATAGATTGTCTTAAAGATTAAAAAATCAAAGATAGCATTGAGACTGTTTGCAGCATCTTTTGTTTAAAAAGATACATGCGGGGCAATAGAAATAAAAGGAATTAAAAGGAATTATGACCTACAGGCATCTTGCTAATATCATAACTTTTTTTTTACTAACTTCTTGAATGTTTTCATATCTCATCCGAACCAAATTTTTTTTTATCCAGACCTTTATAAGATTTATTAAAGTCTTACGAAGTCTTTGAGATCCTTGGAGAGCCTTCAACGATAGCGGGCGTGTTTTTATAACGGAAAGATAAATAATAAAAAAAAAAGAAAAAAGAAATTTAAACAAAAACTTTAATAACTAAACAACAAATCTAATCAGTAAACAAAGTAAGAAATTTTAAAAAGAAAAAAATTAAAATCAACGAAAAAATAAATAATAATAATTAAGTGCATATAAGTTAAAAAAAACGTCGAAAAAAATCCAAATAAAAGGAGAAAAGTCCAAATAAAAAGGAGAAGGAGAAAGTTTACGTCATATAAACTTTAAAAAGAATTGACAAAAAAAAAATTCGAACTTTAATTCACATCAACTTAACTAAAAGAAAAGATAAAAATTAAAAAAGAAAAGAAAAAGATAAGAAAAAAAAAACTGAAGAAACCAACAAAACAGCGGAAGAGAAGAGAGAAAAGATCAAGTTTTAGAAGATATTTTTGTAGCTAGTCTTTGTTGTAATTATCATTTTTTTTTTTAATTTTTTTTTAGTTATGAAAAATAATTAATGTTACCATTAATTATTTTTATTAAATATTATATTTGTTAAATATTATCATTTTGTGTATGCATTTCGTTTTGTAGTTTTTGTGTTTCTCTTTTCGTTTGCGTAAAGTTTGTTATTATTTGTGCTAATTATTTTTATTGTTGATTCCTGTTTTCCTATTTTACCAAATTTTCTACACCTTTTTTTTTTTCTTTATTTCGCAAAAATAACTAAAGTTTGTCCTTATTTTTTAATTTTTTTTTTTTTTTTGTAGAAGTGTATGTGTTTGTCTTTTCGTTTTGATGTTTTTGTGTTTCATCTTGTTGTTTTTGTGTTTTGCCTTTTCGTTTATTTCGTTTGTTTTTTATTTGTTCTGTTTTGCTTATTATTTTTATTTTTGCTTGCTGTTGTTATTGAGTGTTTTTATATTTTTTTGTCTTATTATTTAACTTATCGTTGACACCTTTCTTTTCAAATAATTATTTATATTTATTCTTATTAGTTATATTTTATTATAACTATATTATTTTTATTCTCTTTAAGACAGTTTAAAATAATCACAAATAACTTTGTTTGAGTTTTGTTTTCATTGCACCATATGTCTTTGTTGAGACGTGTCATTTAATGACGATATGGTGATTATTTACAGATGTAGTAATATAAAACCTATGTTAATTAAGGTGGTTCATAGTCAAATGGGACTTTACAATCTCTTGCAAAAGTTTAGACTCGGTTAAGTATTCTCAGGTAAAACCATAATTTATTGAAAACGACATAAAAAAGTTTAGAATAAGTTAAGTACTTTTAGGTAAACCTCGGTTTAACAGGACATCTATCATAGGTTTATTTTTTAACAAGTGCTGAACTTAAACTCTTACAAATTTTTTGCCAGTAAAAAATTGATCCTCGACTTTGAAGAAACTTTTAAATGTATACGTATGCAATAAAAAAAAACACTAAAAAATAGTTTTAGAAAAGCTTAAAACTTACGTAAACCACAAAATATTCATACTCTTTGACAGTAGCAAATAAGTTGCACAAAAAAGTCTAAACAGAGGAACAACATTTAAATAAATGCGTAAAACAAATTATACATTTAAAATAGCAACTGGTTCTTGAGGGAGAAGATTACGAGAATGGATTATCATCCCAAATGTACATAAAATAGACAGATTATACTTTGTACTTGCGTACTCTATTTCAAGTATAATTTTGTAAAAGGCTTGTTGGTTTGACTTAATATATCCTGTTACAGATTTAGAACAATTAAGATTTAAATTTATTCAAACTTTTTACCGGCTGAACAATTGTTAAAAACTATGATTTCTATTTTTATTCTTTTTTTTTTTTATTTTTACTCTTATTGAAAAAAAATACTTCTATTTTTTTTTTTTTTTTTTTTAAATTATAGTATCTCGTTATACAATAAAATTGTTATGATGTAAATATCGTTACACAATAAGAAATAACCCAACGAGAAAATTTAAAGAGTGCCACGTGTGTCATAAAATGATAGCACACTTGAGTTATGGGAAGGCATAAATGTGGGTCATGTTTGACTATGGTATTTATACCACTTAGGTTGTAGTATGAGGCAAAAATAATTATATCACTTTTATAAGTATCACTATTATTAGTATTAAAATATATATATATATATTTTTATATATAACCATATATATATATATATATATATATATATATATATATATATATATATATATATATATATATATATATATATATATATATATATAACCATAACCATACATAGTCTAGATCTATGCCATCCGATAAATCGAGTGTGGATATCACACGTTGTGCGCATCTAATTTTGTTTTTATTTTAGTAAATAATAAAACAAGTATATACTTTTATGTAATTAACTTTCTTTTATATAATTAACTTAAGACTCGCAGAAGATCATCAGGTTACGTCATTGAGAAACGCTTCTAAATTAAGTCTCATAAAATTCTTATACATACATACCCGGTGGGAAATGAGCTAGCGACTAGCGAGCGACTAGCTTGCCTTATAGCGATTTTTAAGCAATTTTTTTTTTATTTTATTCTTTACTAATGTCTCTAACATCTTCAAAAATTCGATTTTTAGTGTTAAGTCTATTATAATTTTGAGAATAATTGAACTTTAAACATTGCGATTTTGTAGCAATGTGTCGCTAGCTACATATCGTAGCTTTGTAGCTAGCTACAAAATATCTACAAATCTATTGCTGGTTGATAGCTACATATCAAATTTTTTTGATAGCTATCTTATTACGATATGACGGTAGCTACAATAGCCTGTGAGTCTTTAGCTTATTAAGCTAGCTGTCTTCGTAACCAAATCACTGTCTTTATCTTTACAAATATCGATAGCTTTTCGCTAACTTAGAAAAGCTAGCGATCCTCGTGGCCAAATCGCTGTCTTTGTCGTAACGATTATAGCTAGCTATTCGCTAGCCGATTTCCCACCGGGTAAATACATAAAGTACAGCAAATTATTAAACTAAACTATTAAAAATATAAAAATGTAAAAAATTATAAAAATATAAATTTTAAAAATTATCTGTATTATAAAATAAATACAGTATAATACAGCAATACATTTCAGTAATACAAAAAAAAGCAGTAATTTGGTGTATTATAAACTGAATAAATATAATATACCAAATTATAAAATATTTACAAACACATCATCAAAAGGTAAAATGAATTAAGAATTGCTTGTTAAAGCAAGTTAAGCTTGTTTTTTAATAAAAGATGAGAGATAATTTTATCCGAATAAAAAATCATTTATTTTATTACTTCTTTGTTCCAAAGAAATTCTTCACAAAATGCAGAACTTGATTGTCTAAAATTAAACTATTATTTCTTAAATTGTGTTCATTTTTTTCTTTAAATTTATTTAAATTATGCGGAAAAAACATTTAGCTGAGAGATAAAGAGCATCCAGTTTGTGCTGATTGGCGCCAGGTTGCGTTTGTGGGGTTTAGATGATAATCCAAAAAAAGGAATTTAATTGAGAAATTTAAGTGCTCCAAGTCTTGAGCTTTGGGAAACTCCAAAAGTTTTATTTAAAAAATTAGATAGGAAAGTTTTATTACTATAAATAAACTGTTTATATTTGCTAAATTAACTAAAGTATAATTAAAAAGTTTCCTATAATTTCATAACTTTTAATTTTTTTTAAAAGAACTTGATAAATTTTGTCAAAAAATAAATAAAAATATGAGCGTCTATTAAACATCAAAACAACTTATAGCTTAGTTTTTGATAAATATTCGAACGAACAAACCGTTACAGCAAACCGTTTCTTTGCCGTTTTTGCTGATCATTGAACCAACGTTGAGATTGTGCATGCTTCACTAGATTTGAATTACTTTGCCATTGTAACTATTAGGTTTATTGCATATTATTAAAAAAGGTCCTTAAAACTATTTTGGAGCACCTTAACCTAGCACTGCTCCCCCCCCCCCCCTCGCCGATTAAAATTTTTGTTCCAACGGGCCTGGTAGTTTAATGCATTGTTGCTTTGCTTATTGCTGATTGTATATATATGTACATATATATATATTATTGTTTAGGAATCCGACTGTGAATGTGTGAATGTTTCCTATTAAATAAGTTTAATTAAACAAAAATAGATTTAGCTATATAAATAAAATTCTTTTAATGACACTGTGTCACAAAATGACTTTAATTTGAACCTTTTTCCCAAAAAAAAAACCTTCGAGGGTTTGATAGTACAAGTATGTAGGAGTACATTAGAGTTGGTTTTAAAATCTTCCCTCGTAGTCCGTGAAAGAAAAATTGATTTGAAAATTTGGATTTTTTGCCCTATTGACAAGGTTATTAATCAAATAAAATAAAAAAAATTTTAAATGAAAACTGAATACTTTTGTCACGTAAGTTATTCACAAAAATAAGCAACCTGTTTAAGTAAGAATCCCTAGGCTTTTTATTGATTTTAAAATTGAGCAAAATACAAGTGCAAAACTGTTTAAAATGCCGAATCATGCAAAAAATCATGATGACAACAGAAAAACTGTCTGTTTTCTCTGTTTGAAAAAAGATAACAGACAACTGATTGCCTTTATGATTAATCGCTGTCAAGAGGTTTTTGGTCAAGCAAGTAACTTTGAAGAGCAAAAAGTCTTAATTATTATCTGCAAAAGTGTCAAGACTGTTAAGAAGGTCTTAGAAAAAGAGGTCAAAGGTGTTAAAACTGTCAAGAAGGTCTTAGAAAAAAAGACAATGATGAAGATGCTCAACACCCCTCACTATCTAACTGCCAAAACGTAAAGATTTGTTCTGCAACAAGAGAATCACTTGTTATTGTATAATTTGTTATATGGGAAAAGTCAAGTTTGGAAGATTGGAACAATAAACACAACCAGTCAGCCGAAAGAACAGCCAGTTGTTGAGAAACCTTGTTCAGCATGCTTTTCACTTATTGGAAGAGGGTTTCCACATAATTGTACAAAATTTATGTTATGGTTCTCTTTTTATGTTGTGAATATACATGTTAAAAATCACGTAAATACGCGTTGAAAGTCACGCGTTATTTCAATTGTAATTAAAAGTATTCTCATGGGACTTTTTTTATTTTATATATATAGAGACGTTTTTTGGATAGAGTTAGGGAGGTTAAGAGAAAGCTATAAAATAATACATTTTGTTTATTCAATTTATGGACGCCACTATCCAACAAGCTATTTCGGCAATTATGCCACCGGTTTTCGATGGCAACCATCAGCGATTTGTCCGCCAACTACGAACTTACATAACTACGACGGACGTACCCAAATTCAAATGGAAAACAATAATATTAACATGTTTGCAAATACAGATTTATTCTGCACTGGAAGATTTATGCTTGCCTGCATACCCAGAAGATGACTCAGTTACCTACATAGACATCGAGGAAAACATCATGAAGCTTTTTAAACCGAAGTCATCGTTAATACTACGCTTTGAATTTGCAACTATAAAAATACAAGTAACGAAAGTGTGACGGAATTTTCACGACGAATTGCAAAAGCTGCTGAAGGATGCAAATTCACGGATAGAGATGATCGAATGCGCGACCAATTCATCACGGGTTTTAACGATGGTGTTACAATGTAAACCTCCACAAAATCTGGAACAAGGACGTGTCTTAGGATTGAGAGTCGAAAGAAATAAAAATGGGTAACTGATATGGAAACGAGACAATATGGTACAATTTGAACCTTTAAATGCAGTCACTCGATCGCAGCTTTTCAGCAAGTTAGGTAAACTCATTGGACATTACCCAGTGGCAGGAATTTTGCGTTTACAAGCTTCATATATCAAACGTTTAGCTAGAAATATACCTTGGTGTGATTTTATTTCAGAAGATTGTAAAGAAAAACTGAAAAATTTGCTTCATCGTGTGGAAAAGGAGGACCCGGTTAGTGGAAAATGGTTGGTACCAGTGAATGGAAAAGCTGAGCTTTATTGTGATGCATCATCCATAAGACTTGGGGTAGTTCTGCTCATTGGTGAAGTAGTTGTTGAAGACGCAGCATGGCAACCGCCAGCAAGTGACACACCATATCAATATAAGTGAACTGGATTCGATACTTCAAGGACTAAACTTAGCTAGTAAGTGGGACATAAAAGAGTTAACAGTATACAGTGATAGCAAGAGCACCTTAGGATGGTTAAACGCAGTTTTGAAGAAAGAGTACCGCATAAAAACTTGTGGGATTTCTGAATTGTTAGTACAAAGCCGATTAAATACTATTAAGGAAGTGGAAAAAGTTATCCAGATTGTAGTACAATGGATTCCATCCGAAAAAAATTTGGCTTATCGGCTCTCACGAATTCCTCAAAAATGGTGCAGAACTGTGTGTGCAGCTGGATTACCTAAACAAAAAGACATATGGAAAATTCATTCAATTGGTCACTTTGGTGTCGCTCGAACATTACAACTTTGCTTGCAAAATAACCAGTATGTATCATGTAAGAAGGTTTCAGCAGTAATAGCAAATTGTAACCAGTGCAACTCCATTGATCCTTACTCTGTACAGTGGAAGCATAGTCCACTGAGCGTAGAAGAAAATCGGAATTGGGTTGCCATTGAGGTGACGCATGTAGGTGCTGAACTGTACTTATCAATGATTGATTGTGGTCCATCACGATATTCAATATGGCGTAACTAAAACAGCTACTGAAGTTGTTGGTAAACTTGAAGAAATATTCTCTTTATTTGGACCGCCGGTATGTCTTCTAATGGACAACGAATTTCGGACCAACACGTTTAAAAGCTTTGCTGAAAAATGGAATGTTAATTTGGAATATTGAGCAGCACATCGAGCTAAAGCTGATGGTATAGTTGAACGCATACACAGAACGATAAAAAGAACAGTTGTCGCTCACATTGTTCAATCGCTCTGTCAGTCTTGCTGTACAAAGTGACAATATCATCCAATTGTACTGAGATTCTATCCGAGCAATTCAAGAAAAAACCAACTTGTTTCATCCCAGGTATCGATACTCGGAGGAAAACAGACGAGAAAGGCGTAAATACGAAATTCAAAGAGGGAGACAAGGTGTGGGTAAAGCCAACTCAAGAAACAAAATGTTACCGATCGTGGATACTAGGTGTAGTGCGAAAGCAAAATACTTTATCGTTTGACGTCGAATCAGCAAATCGGGTATATCCGCGTCATATTTCACACCTGCGTCGCCGTACAGACCTACAAAGTTCAAATGAATCAGTCAACGATGTTTTTTACAAACTAAAAGATAAAACCGATAACGCTAAAGGAAGATATCACGATGATATCAAGTTCAAAATGATTCTCAAGAACATGTGCTGCAAGTAACACGCTCCGGACGAACAGAAAGGCCCCCACAAAGATTAGACATAAGTTAATTCACCAAGAGGGCGTGTTCTCTTTTTATGTTGGTGAATTATATATGTTAAAAATCACGTAGATACGTGAAAGTCACGCGTTATTTCAATTGTAATTAAAAGTATTCTCATGGGAATTTTTTTATTTTATATATATAGAGATAATTTTTGGATACAGTTAGGGAGGTTAAAAGAAATCTATAAAATAATGCATTTTGTTTATTCAGTTCATGGACGCCACGATCCAACAGTTATAGCAAACAAGCTTCATTTCATCCATGGCTCTCTGCATCTTAGTCAAAGAATAGAAAGACATCTTGCCGTTACTCCAGGAGAAAATTATTTTCTTTTAGTCATATATGCTTGATAAGCTTTTGTTTTATTGACTTTTTTGACACGATATTTATTATGTGAGAAACTGTGTTATGTTAAGGTAAACTTTTTTCTCCAGGGCCATTGACAAAAAGAACTTTTTCCAGCTTCCAGACTGGGTTTTTAAACACTTAAAAAAGTAGCTCTCTAGCGAATAGTTAAACAAAAATTATCAGGGAAAAACTAGAGTCTCTTGGAAATCTTCTTTCTGACTTGTTTGTCACCTCAGAAATTACAGACACATTCAAACGTCTATTGGATAATAATCCAAACGTCTATTGGTGTACTGCAAAGATGATGAAGCTCTAGGAAGCACTTTAGTTTAGAACAGAGGTCCTCAGTCAAATAAACTTATCAAGGTGAAAATTGATGGAAGATTATGGACTCTTGAAAGTGTCTTTAGGGGGTACTTGACTTAGAACCAAATGCCAAATCTATATTTAATAGGAGTAATCCTTCTTTTTAAAGTTGCTTGATCTGTTAAGCTAGAATTTTATTTTTTTTAATTTTTTTCAAAAAAATGCTTTTTTGTTTTTTATTGTTTTTAAATTGTAAGTAAACTGCTTATTTATAGTACAAAAATTTTAGAACAAGTTTCAATGTTTTCAATAGAAAATGTAACTCATTTGTTCAGAACAATAAAATCGAAAATTTAAATCAACTTTTTTTTCACGGATGATGATAAAAGTTTTCAAAACCAACTCTATTTTAATCCTAAATACCTGTACTATCATATACCCAAAGGTTTTTCCCTGGAAAAGAGGTTCGAATAACACTTAATCATTTTTATATTTTCTATTTCATTATTCTCTTAGATTTTATTTTGAGAGGACCGCCTGTAGCACTGTATCTTTTTATTTGAATTTAAAAAGTCCTGGTTTTGAATGCTTTTTATCCTAATTTTTTTAGCTATATTTAAGCATGTATGGATCCTTGAATTTAAAGAGCCTAAAAAATTAGAACCCTTGCAAATTTTAAAGTTTGAGTTTATAATAAAACTCTCAACCTCGTGAAAACCTGAATTTCAAAGTTATCATATTAGCGATGTAAATATATACACCTTTTTTTTTTTTTTTACTAACAAAATTTACCAACACCTAATTTTTATGTATAAATGTAACAACGGCTTGATTCTAAAAAACTTCAATGATAAATTTACGAAAAATGTAAACAAAAATTATTCTCTTGGAATAAACCAAAGCAATACTTATAAATTGCCAAGAGTTAGTAGTAAGTATTCTGAATATGGAATATTATACTGTGGACCAAAACTATGGAACAACATTTCAAATAACAAAAAATTAAATACGGTGACATCGTTAAATTTCTTTGATTTTGTTATAAAAAATAAAAATTTTAAATTAGATAAACAATTTTCTTGATTTTTCGAAATTAAAACCGAATTCCATTATTCTTTGTTTTTTACTTGATTAATTGACTTCTATTTTTTTATATTCAACAGAGTTGCAAAGTATATTTAAATGACTATTGCTAAAACTATATTGATATTATTTACTCTCTTGATTTAATGTAAATATTTGTGCAAGGTTTAACCATTTTTTTATTGTACATTAACCCCTAATATTCTGATAAAAAATAATAAAAATATATTTGGTCAGCCATATACAGATTGCCCAGCAATGAAGTTTATTTTATGGTAAATATGTCCCAAGTTACAACGTTTTACCCTACTTCTTTTTTAAGTCAGTAAATACAAATTGTAGCAGGTTCCACTGCAAATAAAGGCAACTCTGCTAACTAGTAAATAAGTACGTTTATTTTTATTGCACATTCAATATTGTTGCGTAAACTAAATGAAGTAGACGCAAATGGAAATAAAATGCAGTTTTGCTAATTAGAGCAAGACCCGGTAAATATCATAAAGTAAAAATTGTCAGCTTGCTCGCACTTTTTCAAGCATACACTCTATTATGGTGATTTGGTATACTATACTTAGCTAATTTCTTCACATAGACCAGATACCAAGGTCCGCAAAAGACAGTTTTTCTCCAACTAGAGCGTCATAATCTGTAACCACAGATAAAGTAAAAGTGTGTAGCCTTTAATATACCTAAGAAACCTTTAAACATACTTTCATAGTGTCACATAGATTTGTAAATGTGCAGAAGCAGGTAAAGTTGCCGATAATTTGCTATGGACTTTTTTTTTAGGTTTCAGTGAAAAAGAAGCGTAAAGCAAACAACAAAACTTAAAGTTTGTGATTTAGAGACCAGAACGCAAAAACTAGATAATAGTTCTTTAAAAATACTATAAGAAGAATTTTTATTTTTAAAAGAATGTAGTTTTTAAAAAGAAAATTATCAAACAATTAGGGATATATTATCTATGACTTCTTAAAGCAAAACAAAAGTCTAACAATAAGATGGGGAATATATTTTTATGATATGAAAAGTATTAGAGCGAAACTTACTTAATTCTGATAGTCTTTTGTTTTGATAATAGTTTATTAAAAGTCTTTAAAAATGTTTTAATTTTGTACTGAATGAGATCAAGGAGAGAAAAAACAAGAAAATTATAAAGCATTTTACATGTTTTAAGTTTAAAACTCTGTGAGGAGAGAAAAAACGAGAAAATTATAAAGCATTTTACATGTTTTAAGTTTAAAACTCTGTGAGGAGAGGAAAAACTAGAAAATTTGAAATTTTGAAATAATAAAATTTTAATTACTTAAAAATAGTAAAATAAAAAAAAGGAATTCTAAGATTTATCTTTTATCATCTTATTCAAATTATTTATCAAATTAATTATTTATTATTGATATGTTTTTTTTTGATATTGGTATTGATATAATTATTGATATCTATGCTAATATACTATTTATGCTAAAACACAAATTAGGATTAGTTCCTTCACGATTTACAGAAAACCTCTTTCATTCAATTACCAATAAGTTTAACACAAGAGCAACTGGTAACTTTATCGTACCCCCAATAAAATGTAAAAAATTTCTCAATTCTCTCTCTTATCGCGGACTCTATTTATATAAAAAATTAATTCGGAAATACGCCTTACTGACAATATATTTTCTTAAAAATAAAAACTTCATAGAACTGTTCTAGTTCACATGATAAATCAAAACGTGAAAAAAGCCGGATTTATATATATAAAACAAACTTTATCACAATAATATTTAAAATATTTGTACATAAGAACCACAATGTATATATCTATCATGCGTATTACCCCAAGGGGTGGCAGAAATAGTGTCAAAAAATGAACTTCAGAATTTAAACTTTTTTATTGCTTTATTTTTTTAAAAATAAAAGGAATAAAATTTCTAACAAATAAAAAAAATCGTTGTCATAGTTTTTTTATCATGTGTAAATAAATATATTTAAATAATACTCACAAGCAAAATGCACACAAAATACGGTATTGGCTTGGTCTCCAACTTCGAAATTGAGCTTGTGACTTCCAATAAATTAATATAAAAAAAGGCTGGAAGTATCAAAACAGTTAACCATGATGAAGTCAATATGATGGTCTTCCAAGTTTTTTCTTCTCTTTTTCTTTTCTCTATACTAGTTATTTTTGCCATTGTGTTTTTTATAATGCTTACCAGGAAATAAAGTTAACTTTAAATAAAACTTTTCATAATAATAAAGTTACTCTAATTTGGGGTTTCAAAAATATTAGTTTTTAAAATATACAGTACTTAACACTTTATAATTAGATTATTCTAGGATAAATAATGAAACAAAAAATATTTACTTTTCAGCTCTATTGTTACTTTTTAATGTCTTTATAGTGTTATTGAAAAAATATACTTCTATATAAATAACAATTGCAAACGCATCTCGTATCTTTATTATATTTTTTAAACTGCTATAGAATATTTCTAAAGTCCACGCTTTTGCAATGTAACGATTTTGTTCACACTTTATTTTCAAAGTTAAGCTTCATTTTGGAAACAACAAAGAACACGCTTTTTAATTGAATGATTGTTCAACAGACGCCACTCATTTCTAAAGGAATGCATTTTTTTTTTTTTAAATAAAAAATATATTTAGTTTTTAAAATAGTTTGACGGATCTGGAAATCTTTCATTCTTTAACTGTATTTATTAACGGTGTTCAGATTTGTATATATAACTTTAAATTAGTACAAATAAAACTCAATAAGTTCATATTGGTTTAAATTATTTTAGATTAGTCCTTATTATCATCAAGATTCAGTCTGGTTTTGTAGCATTATAATTGTTTATGGAGTACATAATAATATTTGCTACAAATTAAAAATTTTATATTAATAAAATTTAATATAAAAATATAATGAATAAATACAGTATATAGACATATTATTTTACAGTATATAGACATACTATTTGTAAATGAACATATTGTTTGACTTGAAACCGTATTTTAAGACAAATAATACCTTTGTCTTGAAGCCATTGCTTCAAGACAATAATAGACACTAAAAAATGAAGGTATAAATGTTCACGTTTAGGGTATATCACATGTCATTTTCCTTCTAGGTAAAAAATTATAATTTTAATGGTAAAAAGTTATTACAAAACTGACCATATGGGTTGACATTTATCTAACTAAAAAGTATATTGTTCTACCTTAAAGTATAACATTTTATACTTTAAGGGGTAGGATATGATTTATACCATTTATTACTTTAAAGTTATTTTTACCATTTCTTTAGAGTGTATCTTTGTCTTGAAACTATGGTTTGAAGACAAATAATATCTTTGTTATATTTTTATCAACAACTTAGTTAACGGACACTTGCTGTACAGCTAAATATTTGCCGTTATGTTGCAAAATATCTGCCGCTATGTTGCAAAATGTCTCCCGTTATGTTGCAAAATGTCTGCCGCTATGTTCCAAGCGTTTTATTTACTATAACATCCTTTAAATATAAGATTTTGTAAATATAAATAATTATTTTTGTTTGCTATCAAAGTTTGTCTATTCAATAACTCTAGTTTAAAATAGTATACCTGCATTCTTTTTTAGTAAATTGTCGATTAAATCTTTTATTTATATTCAACGATGTACAAACATGCTGTTGTAGAATCTTACGAACTCTTTATATATAATATAATAAGTTGAATTTTAAACAATTCCATTAAATCACCCATTCTTCTTTCTTGTAGCATAAAAAAACTTCTGAAAAAACTCCCATAGTTTTCTTAGTTCGGGTAGAGAACTAGTGTGAGACTGAGTTAGGAACATCTTGTTTTATAATTAAAAGGCAGAAATGTATTTTTCTAAATCAGAATACCAAGTAATGAAAGCAAATTATAGAAGTGAAATATATAAACTGTATATAGTAATCATTCTTTTTAAACAAAGAATTTTTTTTTTTGAATTTAGATTTAAAGACTCTACAGAAGATCTATAAATGATATAAATGCTGTTAAATAGAACAATATTATTATAAATTATACTTTTAATGGTAAAAATTATTACAAAATTGGCCATATGGGTTGACATTTATCTAACTAAAAAGTATACTGTTTTACCTTAAAGTATCAAGTTTATACTTTAAGGGGTAGGATATGATTTATACCATTAAATATGTTCCAAAAAAGTTCCAAACCGATTTACAGAAAATTTCTTTCAATCTAATGTCAACAAATTTAACACAAGATCAACTGGTAACTTTATTGTACCACGGAAAAGACCAAAAAATTCTCAATTTTCTATTTCTTATCGCTGCCCTTATTTATATAACAAATTAATTCCGAATTATACCTCAATTTCTTTTGCTGACAATATAATTTCTTCTTATAAATTCATGTTCTCAATACAGATAATTACTTAGAAAAGTTTTAGTTCTAATGATAAATTGTTATTTACGCTTACATTCAAACAATCAGCGATCAATCAAAAATAAAGATGTAATTTTTTTTGATTAAAAAACAAAGATAATATTATTATTATAAACCACAACACTAACACCATACATAGTATAATAAAAAGAAAAAAAAAGTCTACCTCAATAACATTTAAAATATTTGTTTTATGAGAATCATAATGTTTATATGTGTACTTTACGCAATACCACAAGGTTCTCGATGATAAGACTAAACTCAGTCTTCTACGAGTTCCCTACAACAGTCAAAACCCTTATCAAGTCATAGCATATTTAATTATTGCTTCCTATGTTTATCTTAACGGTATTTTGTAAAATATTAATTTTTTTGTATTTAATATATTTTGTTTATGTTATCGCAGTGTAAAAAAATTTTGTAATAAATATGTAGTTGTAAAAATTTAAAGAAAGAAAAAAGAAAGAGAAGAAAAAAAAGGTTGCTTTGTGTGGCTTTTTAAAAAAAAAAAATAACGGATAACTGCATCAAAATCTATATATTTTGCAATGTCAAAAACAATACTAAACTTTGCAAGTTCATTAAAACATGATAAATCTTGTGCTTGCTGAGGCTTCTTTTTGCTGATGCTAATATTCCCCTATTGTTTTGAATTATCCATATACATAGCATATCTTTTTTCTTTTCTTTTTTTTTTCTTTTTTTTATTTTGTTCTTTATTAAAATATTTATGATACATATGTTACAAATAATATAAAAAAAAGTCAAGATATCGTTAAGAAATAAAGTATAAACAAAAGTATAAAAATAAAGAACGCGGATACTTAAAGAAGACCATAAGGTCTTGTCACAGAGACACCGCTATTGAAAAAGTTAGAACGTTTTTATTTTATTTTTTTTTTTTTAATGGTTTTTCCTTTTGTTACATAACATACATAAGGCAACCAGGACGACCCCAGCATATCTAGCACCAGACGACGATCTGGCCATATTGGCCATCTAGTACTAGATATGCCATGATGGCCATATTGGCCATCTAGTACTAGATATGTCATGAAGGTAACAACCAATACGCTTAGACAATATTTCCCATTTCTTTAGGCTAGAACATAATAAAGTGTATATTGTTTTTAAAATAGGTTATGACTTCTGGAATACATTTAGCAGCATCATTACTACATATGTTAAGTGTGTGGCAAAGAAAAAAAGACGATATTCTTTTAATATAGTTTGTACTTCCTTCTCTTTGCCTAACATTGTTGGCAAATCGCCATAACTTTGCGCCCTACAATTAGTGAGTTAAATTATATTGATTTCAAAATTATTTAATAATTTAAAAAATTTCATAATTATTTTAGTCGTTACAATCTGAAAATTTCAAAAATCATTCCATAATTTCATATTGCAATTTATGAGGAACTAGATAATGCAAAATAAATGTTGTTTTTACTATATGAGATAAATATCTTCTTGAATTTACAAATGTTGCATATTACATTGCAAAATTCCTTTTTTTTTTCCAAAATATGTTGTTTGACAAGATCCAAACATTCAGAAAAAAATTATTGTGTAAATCATTTGAAAAAAAATATTCTTTTAATATTTCGCCCTTTATTTTTGACAAAGGTGCTTTTAGATCGTGTTGCTTTAGAATAGAGCCCTAGTTAGAAAGCAACTTTATCAGACCTGAAAATTTTCTTTTATTTGAAATACGGAAGCGTTATAAAGATTCCTGATCAGCAAAGCTACGTTCTCCTATGAAAAGGATAACATCAATATTTTTTCTCAAAATTTAATATTTTCTGATTCCGCTTTAATCAATTAAACTTGTATCGATAATTGTATTATATATTCAAATATTCAATAAAATTATCAATACCGTCTTCAATTTAAAAAACGCCTTTCTACTTGATGCGGTGCTAGATTTCAACCTTATTCCACTGTAATTAAAGCAGCACTTTTTTTTTTTTCAACATCTTTACTTCTAACAAGGCTTCAAGCAATCACTATTAGAGTCGAAAGTTATTGAAAGAAATGATGAATTAAAATATTGCAAATTATATTAAAACAGGAAAACAAGATGAAGGAAGCGAATTAAACTGATGTTCGAAAAAAAAAAACTGTCTAAAAGAAAAAGGGCATCATTCAAAGATCTGCCCCAGATATAGCAACTGTATTCTACACAATGACGGATATAAGATATATAGAGATATATATCTCATATAGAGATAGATATAGATAAAGAATAGAATCCGGAGTAAGAAAGTAGCGAGAAAAATTAAGAGATGCAATCTTAGTAGACGCTAATTTTGCAATCAATTTGATATATGGTTTCCAAGGAAGTAAGAGTTAATCCTAGAAGATGAAGGGTAAACTTAAGATGAAGGGTAGACTTAGCTTAAAACAGACACTGTTCTAAAAAAATCGGCAAGGAAAATAATATAAAGAAGTTTGATGCTTACTAGCCAGACTTTTTCATTAAAATTCTTTTAGGAAACTTTTAATTATTACCATTTTAAAAGAATCTTTAAAAAGAACGTCAGTATGATCTTTGGTAACAAAATTATTTATTTCTAATTGAGAAATATATTCTGCTGTTATGAATCTAATGTCAAGTTTTCTACTTGATTGGTGAAGTGAAACACTACGTAATTTAGAACTTTCTGTAGCTCCAGGTCACGGTCTGAAACAATATTTAAGTCCAGCATATTTGTTGGTTTCTTTTTGTTTTAGAGTATCTTTTTAATTTTATTTTTTGCTATCGTCTATTTTGTTGTAGTTATACATAAAAAAAAATTTGTAATTTATATTTTATTACCGTTGAATATTT